ACTATGGTTATGCGCGCAGCAAACAAGTATAGACTAGATTGCCCTAATTTGGAAAGAGACATTGCATATCCGTTCGTTTTGAAAATGCTTTGGAATTTGCTACTCGCAAGCAGGCTAAAAACACGGATTTCAATGAGTCTTCCAACTCAAACAATCCAACCTTCACCCACAGGCATTCAAAACAGTTTAACACATAAGGCATCTAGCCTCATGGCAAGCATACTGTCATGTTAACATTCACACACATGCGAGATGCTAAAGCGGAAATACTTACATCGTACTCCGTGCCAAAACAAAGAACTTGTTAGCAAACATGCATGATCCAAGTCCATGTTAAGTGCCTAATGCATCGCATACAAAGTGTTGCTAAGATAGGCTCGGCTAACCTAGACATGTCATGTGAAAATGCATAAATTATCACATATTCAGTTTGGAATTGAAGTATTGATGCAATTAGCGTGATGTACCGAGCCTAATGCATGCAATACAAATGCATGGATGCACACATGCATAGCATGAGGTATGCTAAAATTAAACGTGCCCTAATACTAACCATTAAAGTGGGTAAGTAAAAGGGAAGAAAGAAGGGAAGAAGAAGTGAGGTTGGAAGACATACACACCACCCACACACACTTATTACAGATTCGCCCTCACTCGGAGGGACAAATAATATTACAAATTAATTAACTACGCAAGCTAATTAATATTACAAATTAACTAATTTAATTAACAAATTAAATATTTAATTAAAACAGGAAAACGCCTCGGGAAGCGCGCCACCATGCATGGGCTGCCTCTGTTTTCTTTCCTTCACTCCTCTGGAGGTTGTCAAACCTCAGGGCTTGCCTCCCTTGGACAGAGGGGGTCCACCACCGGCTGATTGAAATTGCCACCGGCAGTGTGGTATGGCCATCGGCACAAATTTGAATCTGTCCGGCAGATGAAGTTGTTGCCGTGTGCACATTACAGCTGCCGGCCGGCAGAGTATTTCTGCAGAACCTGCAATTCACAGCAACAGAGGGCAAGGCAAAGCATGGCAGCAAATTCAAGGCATGTATTGCATCAACCATGTCCCTTATCATTGTAATGACTCAAGGGCATGTGCCTCGATTCTCGACCACCAATCACGCATTCCATGCATGATGGCCCAAAGAACCAAGTATGCAGCTTTTGTTTCAAATGCAATGCAAACCAATCAACAAAAACTCTCAATCCCTATCACTCAAGTCAAGGGACAAGGCATGCATGCAAGATGGCAATGCAAGCCTAGGCATACAAGCTTAAGAATGCACATGGCATGGCAAGGAATTATGCAAGCATACAAGCATACATATGGCAATGCAAATAGATGGAAAGATTGGAACTTATCAATGAATTAGGCAGCTCTAATAAGGCCTAAAACAGTTGGCCAAAGTGCTAAAAAAGTGAGGGCCTAATGGCATACACACACACACGTGCACATTAAGGACCAAACACTTAAGCACAAAATCAAGCAAATTCAAGCACTCTCTTGAAAAGGGACAAACATGACATTAGGCACTGCCATTAAAGCTTGAATCATGCCAATAAATGATGCCAAATCAATACAAGCAAGACAACAAAATGCATGTAAGCATGGTCTAAGTACTTGAGGAAGTCATAAGCCTTGAAGATGTTTATCACAACACAAACATGGCATGCATTAAGCAACCTAAAACAGTGATTTTTAGCTTCAAACATAAGCCCAAAAGACCAACTTAGATGGCATCT